TATGCAGCAGGTAATCTCCGAAACTACTCATCCGATTTCAAAAATTTTTTCACAAATATTTAGAATGGAACTTCAGGGTGAACATAGGCTGTATACTATTCCGTTAAACATGGGAGATGGACAGTTCTTTACGGTAAGCCTTACCGTAAAGAACCCTGCTTCTATTTATGCTATTCTAGATGCGGATTTTTGCGTTTTTAATTGCGTTTTAATAGGGTACGTCAACAGATTGTACACTAAGAAAGGATTTTTCGATATTACCCTTGCGGGGGAGAGAGACAGGATTAAGGCTAACTGTGAAGAACTTGGCTTCTATTACACTATTTTAGATGCGGTTTTTTTGCGTTTTTGATTGCTTTTTAATAGGGTAAGTCAAGATAATGTACACTAAGAAGAAATTTTTCGAAAAATTTCCCTCCCACGGGGGAAGTGTTATACATTTATAATAGATACATTTTGAGCCACAACAAGGCATGGCAGGGTCTGCTAGTCAAGATATAATTTTATGGAGATTCGTATAAAGTTGTTAAATAAATACGTAAAACTATTAGTCTGACAATCAGAATTTGTATTAAAGTTAAAATGCAATTCATTAAGTCATACCTATATTTTTGAAACTTTCTATGAAGCATGAAAAGTAATCGTTTCGTGTCTCTAATATATTTTATAAAGTATATGTTCGTTTAATTTAGACTATCTGAAATTTTCATATTTCCAATCGCTGCTTTTTATTTATTAAGAAAAAAATAAACGTGCCTCAATGTACTGTACATAAATGTGATTTTTTCGAAAAAATAGTCACACTACATTTGAGTAGTTACTTCACATTACTTAATAATAAGTTTTTTCAAATTACATTAAACTTTTTTGGCTTAGCAATTTGCATCGATATAGACATGTTTTATCATAATTAACAAATTAAATTTTCGTACGAAAAATGAAATAACAACATTTTTATCGTGGAAAAAGCATAAAAGTAATTAAATACAAATTATACATATCGAATTAATTATTACTTACTTGAGGAATGATGGATATTTTACTACGAAGATCCCGAAGTCCAATATCTTTAATATCAACACCATCGATGGTTATCGTTCCTGTTGGCTCTGTCATGCGAAATAACGCAGCAATTATAGAACTCTTTCCTGCACCTGTTCTCCCAACAATTCCTATCTGCAATTAATTTATAATAAACACCAATTCAGGCAATAATTATAAACAATACTCTTCCAATTTGCAGATATTTTACCTTTTCTCCGGAGCGAATATGAAATGTTAAGTTCTTTAACACAATATTTTTATTCTTGGAGTATTGCAATGAAACATTATCGAAATGAATTTCTCCTCTTTCTGGCCAATCAGTTGGTGGCCGTTTATTAGGCAAACTTTCGTAGGATGCTTCCGATTTCAAATTGCTGTATTTCAGAATGCGTTTTACAGAGTTCATCTGGAAAATTTACTTTTTATGAAATAACAATTACATTATCCGGAAAATAAATTATGCGTAGCATTTCATTAAATTTATTGATTCAGATATTTCGTGTACGTGTGTACACAAATCACTGTGTATAATATGTACATAGTGATTTATTTCCCTTTTTAGACTTTTTTATGTTTAAGCTGTATGAAAGCCGATGATTTTCAAAACATCAAAATGAGTTATTACAGGATAAAAATACTTTCTCTTGTTATGTCATAAAAGCCAAAAAACTTAAAGTTAAATATTAGAAGAAATAAAACGAATTTAAGAAACTTAAATAAATACTGTTTAAAAATCTGTAAACAATTTTTCATTTAAATAAGTACTTGTACAAAAAGTTGCATGTAACTCGGAGATCAAAAACTCTTGTCGACTGTTGAAGCGCTTCCAAACACTCGACAAGAAGTAAAACAATTCATAATAAAGAATTAGGTTGTAAGAGATATTATTTACTTAGATTTTAATTAAAATATTTACAAGAAATGAGAGAAAGTAAGTATTTTCGGTTGAAATCTTTGTATAAAGTACAATTATTTAAATGAAAAAAGTAATAATTAAAGTTTTTGAGAAGAGTAAAAAGTTAAAAAAATTATTTTTTTATTTTAAATTTATAATATTATACTGAACCAAAAATGCAAAAGAAAAAGAAATCAAACGCAACAACTTTTTAAAATGTATTGGGACTCAATTATGAAATTACTCGAAATAGTAGAAAAGATATGCATAAATATTTAACAGGCGGCAATAATTATAAGATTATGGAAAGAAATATACTTTAGCCAGAACAGTGTTAAAATATTTTTAAAAATTTATTTTGAAAAGCGATGCATATTGTAAAAAAAAGGAAATCTAAATATATAAAATTTCTTGTTTTGACTGACTAACTGAGTCACTGATTCCTCATCGCCCAGAACAAACCGCTGCACCTAAAGGGGTGAAATTTGGTACACAGTTAGGAAACGTCATGGAAACGCGCACTAAAAATGGTTTTTTCGAAATACCCCATCGGGAGAAGAGAAAGAGTATTAAAGCTTAACCTGAAGAACGGCTTTTACTGTGGTATTTTAGATGCGATTTTTGTTTTTAACAATGTTTATTCTTCATTAACTAATTAAATGCATTAAATTGATAACATTTCAGACATTGTTATAAATATTTATATATATTTCAATTTTTTAACCAAATATTCGAACCGTTTTCAAGTCGGATTTGTTATTGCATATTGGTTCGATTATAGAACGATTATAAACGTTCCAGAAAATTGACCAAATTGAAAATAGTTCGTTTGATTCTCGGCAATTCTCATCATTCCAGCTGTAATTGTTATATATAATAACTAGCTGCAAGGACCCGCTTCGCTGGGTTTTTATTTGTGGGCAAAAAGTAACGATTGTGAAGATTAAGTTAATTACATTATAGCCAATCTTACCCGTTTTCACAGAATGCAAGAATTAGGTCAACCGTTTCCAGTCGTTTTTCCATAAAATTTTTACATGAGCATAAAAATATGTACGATTTTCCGCAAAAGCGCAAAAAACCGCCTGTAAATCTTGCATGCCGCTTTATATAAACACTTCCTGGTTCCGATTCTATTTCTGAACGTCTCCTGTTCACGTCCAGTGAAAGGAACTATTTTCAACGTTTCTGGAACGTTTACGATCGTTCTATAATCGAACCAATATTCGAACAAATTCGAACAAAACATTCGAAATAAAAAGTCACTTTCAACTACTTTTAGCCTCATATCTCCCGCACCCTTATAGCTATCGAGACGCAACCACCCCTATGCACGAATGGA